TCACAATGTTCCAAGTACTGCGGTAATTATTAGTCAGTGTCACCAGATCAAAATGGCTCCACCTTTGGTTGCTCCATAGCGGTTTAGATTGGTCATACGGAAGATGACACTGATTGAAGTCAACTGCAATGCACGCACATTGCATAGACGAGAGATCAATTGCACACGCATGTGCATCATCAACATAAGTGACTAGGTTCGTTAGTTCGCTCAAAAGTTTAACTAATTTGGCGTTCTTGTTCTGGGTATTGCAGTGAATAATTCCTATTCTACTTTGCCATAACTTGAGATCGAATTCATCTTCTGAGCCTTCCATGAAACCAATGTGAGCTTTTTGGAAGATGCGTTTGTATTCGACCAATTTCAGCTGATTAAAAACCAGAAGGATCATTTTCAGTTCACTATTTGATAATAATGCTTGTCGTATAAATCTGGCTATTAATATCAAACTTTTACCAGACCCCGTGCATCCAGTTATGACTAAATTGGCAGAATCTTTTTCGAAAGCTTCCTGCTGGTTTTTTGTAATATGAGTTATACCCAGGATGCTGCTGAAAATGTTGATTCCTCTTACGCTTGCAGAGACTAAGTGTTCTGTTCTCTCAACATTTGAAGAGAGTGCCCTCTTGCTGTTTTTGCTGACCATAGTTATCTCGCTCTCTCTTAGACGTCTATCTGTCTCAATCAAATCACTCTGCAAACCAACTGATGATCCGTCAAAGTTACTACCCTCTGTTGCCCATAGTGTCCACAAAACGTGTTTCACTTTCTCCAAGTCTCCATGGACATCCTCCACCGAGGAGTCAAAATTCCCAGTTACATTTGTTTGCCACCATACTGCAAGGTCGCCCAAATCGCTACTGAAAATGCATTTCAACTTCATCGGAAGTGATTCTTTGGCATAGTTGACACTCTTGCTGCCAGGCAAATTGGAATTGATGCCCGGGAAAGCTACAAAACGAAAAACTTTGAAAGGAGTTATTTTGTTATCGCGTTGAGTTTCTGACTCGGACTGAACAGTCTCCTTTTCAATGGACTCCTTCGCTATACCTCTGATCACGTGCTGCAACTTATCCATCTGTTCAACTGCAGCTTTTGCGAAATCTGACATAGACTCCTGGGATGCTTTCTCTTCTGCATTTTTCACCTCAATTAGAACAATGTAGTCTGGTCCAATTACAACAAAATCGTTTTCGCCTTCATCGGAATTCAACCCTTTTTTGCAAGTTGGCTGCTCTTTTCTCTTGGAACATTCTTTTGCGCTGTGATTGGAGTCCCACATTCTATATTGGTAATGTGTGTATTTCAAACTGTGGATCACGACAATGTGTTGACCCTTCAATTTTTCAAGAGCTCGATAAACTTTGACTTCTGCTTCATAGTCCTGCTGTTTTTGTTTATCATTTTCAGCTCTATTTCTTTGCTCTTCACTTTCGACTGGACTTTTATGGAGATCGACGTATTTATGGTTAGGACAAGTCGGAAACATTCGAGCATAGTCGTCGCTTTTTAAACTAAATGCTTCAAAAAGTTTCTTTCCTCGTTTAAAATAAGCCTCTTTGTTGGTCAACTTTTCATTGGTTGTAAGACTTCTCACATTCGCAAAAGTTTCCAGGAGAGAGATAAACTGCGTTTTCTCAAAAAGAATATCCTTAATAATCGACTGCAAATCCAATTGCTCTGTGTCAAAAATAGAAGAACTAACTGACTTTCCAATTTCTGATTTAACCTTCACAACTTCAGAGTAGCCCAATAAGGGTCCCTTTAATAGTTGCAAAATACTGTGCATGGGAACTTCTTCTGGCATTTCACTGACAAGTGCATCAACGTTATCACGGTCTACATAAAATGTAGGTCTGTTCATTTCGAGTTCCGATTTTTGACCATCATCCTGATCCAGGGCACTCCAGATGGCGAATAATACATGCTGCACTCCGTTGACATCCCCTCGAATTGTTTCACACTGGTCTATGTTTGATCCATTAATATTTTCAACCCACCATGACTGGATATCAGCCAAATCTTTTTCTTTCATAACTCCAATTTTTTCTCCTTTGTCGCTCATTTCATTAAAAATAAAAATTCCACAATTCTCGTCCTTATTGGGAAATGCGATGTATCTGAACAGTTTGAAGGCGGTTGTCGCTTTCGACGCTGTCTCGGTTTCTGATTGGACAGTCTTGGCTATTCGTTCAATAAGTTCTAGAGATCTACGTTGTCTCGTTAATTTGAGCTCCAATTGTGAACGGCATTGTTCTTCAAGACGTTCGAGTACTTGATGACTCGTTAGTTTCGGCTTTGAAGTTCTCAACTTTTCAACTTCTTCGTCTGTTACGGGTGCATATACATCAATTATCACCACGTAATCGGGTCCGAATAGCAGGAAATCGTGGTAACCAACAACACTTGATCGGTGTTCGAGGGAACAGTTCGGAATAGTCTGTTGCTTAGCGCATGCTTCGGGGTTATACGTTGGTTGCCACATATGGAATTGGTTGTGGCTGTAGATGAGTTTATGGAGAATAATCACTGGTTGCTTCAGACATTTCATTGCCCGATAAACATCCAAGTTGCATGAGTCAGCCTCAGGTTCTTTGTGAATTGCAGGAACTCCACCGGCAACTAATTTGCCCGATTTTCGACTAATTTCAATATCGGGAAAAAACAGAGGACGTCCTCTGCTTGTATTGCAATGCTCCTCGAAAAAAAATTTCCCATTTTGAATGTATTCTTGTTTACTTTTGAGCTTCAAGTCCATGTTACTTCATTTTTTTTCCATTGTTTGTAGCTTTAACGGCAATATGTTTCCAATGTCGCCATAATATAAAGACTGTTGGTAAATGAATACGAAAACATTTCTTGGCAACTGGAATTGTCCAATAGACTATTTCAACCACATATCCACGTGGCGTTAAATAACAACATATGTTCAATTTTTCCTGTAGTATTTTCATTTATCTATACTGTTAAACAAAAATTGCATGTTGGTTCAGCGAGTTGCATTGGTCATATTAACAGCAAAGCGGTGGCTTCCCTGGTGATGGAGGGAACGATTGTTATGAATTTGTTTTCAGCCAATAAGAATTGAGTAGAAAAATTCAGGCCATCAATACTAAAATAAATCGATTGCAAAGTAGCAGAAAATTGAGTTTTCAAATAGTGTACAATGTAAAACGCATTGGAAAAATATTATTACAGCCTTTTCAGTAGTGATTGGAACATTTTTACAAATTTTGTCGTGAAAAACCGGTTGGAAATTTTCGATTTTTGGACCAATTTTGAGTTAATAAGGTCATCTTACAGGCTTACATAAGCTTATTTAAGCTTAATTTTAGCCTTGAAAACTTAGTTTTGCTCGAGAAAAGATGGTTTTCGGGGTGTTTTACGCCCTTTTGGGAATCAAAAATTGAAAAATAATTTTTTTGGCCTTTTTTAGTCTTTTTCTGCAACTGTTTTCGAATTGGCCTATTATACTATGACGGTCGATTATGCCTAATTTCGATTTTTTCGTTCAGCTCTTTTTGTTACTTGACAGAAAAAAACGAGACTAATTTTCAAAAAATTATAGTCGGAACATACTGTGTTAGTTGCACAGTAACCGGCTATGCTTGTTTGACATCGATTTTGTGCAAAAACTATTCAGCGAATAGGAACGACTAAGCAGTCTGATAGAGAAAATCCGAAGAAAAAAACACTCGCAACCTCACTTGCCTTGCGACATGTAATTGCTAACGATGGCGTGGCGGGAAGGATAAAAACATTTTTTTTTACCAAGAATCATTTTTGACTTGATCTCAGTTAAGCCGACAGTGAATGACAGAAAATGAAATGTAGTAGAATTTTTCACATGATTTTCTAGTAAAAACATGTCTTTAATTATCGGGGATCCCAATTGTTTCGGCGGCTTAGCTCCTTTAAGAAATTATCCGAGAGCAAGTGTATTGGGATCGGGTAGTAGGCTTTTTTTTCGAGAACAAATTTGATCACAGGATTTCAAGGTTTTTCGACTAGAAATGCTTCTGTTCATTTTATATCAGCTTTGTATCCTCATTTAGCGTCATTTGTTTTGGTAAAAATACATTTTCACGCTGAGGTGACGGAAACTCCGAGTCATTTCAAAGATTTTTCCATTCAGGCTTTTAGGGCATTGTCATCCGGCACGGGACCGCATCAGAACAACATTCACCGGAAGGATGCGTGGCCATTGCTTATGCGTCACGTTTTCTAAATTCACTAGAGGAAAAATGTTCAGTGAACGAACTAGAATTACTCAGGGTAGTGTGGGGCATCGAACGTTTAAAATGCTATCTTTATGGAAAACACTTTACCGTCATCACAGACCACCAAGCTTTGATCAGCGCTTTAAACGTAAGCGAAAGATCAAAAACTAGTCAGAGTAGATTAACACGCTGGATTGACCGGTTAATCCCATCCGTTTGGATTCATTAACCAACACGATCATACCTAGAAGTATGACATGCATCATGGCGCTACGCTCATGTACAAGTTTTGTCGTGAATGCTTAGGTAACGCTTCGTGAATGTTGATGTAATCTTTAGTTAAGGCCGCCAAAAATCCTTCTTCACATGGTTTAATTTCTGAAATGAATCATTTTCGCGACAAATCCTGATATGAAAAGTTTGTTTGATTGAGTTTTATCCAGCATTTTTCTTCTTGGACATTTTGTTTTACTTCGATTAGCTGCTCATTCTTGTCGTCTAGCTCGCCATGTTATGTTTGTAATATAAGCAGGTGGTGCGAAGCTCAACTCCGCCTCTGCGTTGGAGTTATTTGCTCGTAGTTTTGTTTCACATATTGTTTCCGAGTGAGTTGGGATATGAAGGAATAAGGCTTTTTAAACCAATTTTTTCTTGCTAAACGCTTCAATTTTGCTAATGAAAAAGGAAATTTTTTAAATTGCTGAAGTAGACTCTTTTGGTTTGTCAACGTGTGCGTTTCAGCGTCATACATTTGTTTTATTTCTTACCTCTTTTCTTCAGAATGTGCTTCTGGCCAGACCGAATGCTTTGCTGGCGCCTGCTGTCCACTTCCAGATGCAGTATGTTGCAGTGACAATATCCACTGCTGTCCTAGTGGATACTCCTGCAATGGAGGATTCTGCTCAAGGGCCAGCCAAAACAGCTCCATGCCAGATGATCTCGCTTTCCAAACTTGTAATTTCCGTTTTTAAATATCGATTACTTTGAATGTGTCAGATCATTCGATTTTGCATTATTTTTTTCCTTGAGGGTTCGTTCTCCATTTTAAGTCACAAGTGTGTTCTGAGTTACTGTATGCTGTTAAATTTGTGTTTGGCGATTTAAAGCTTAATTTACTTGATTTACTTGTGCATGACGCTGGCTTCGCGGAATCCCCTGATGTCAAAATTTTTTCAGGGTAGCTTAGTTATAGAGAGCTACCTCCTACCGTTTTTACCTGTTAATTATTGAAATAAAGGGCTTTTTTCCCGTAGATAACTTTGTTCACAGCATAGCCAAATAGTAGTTAATATCAATTGTTCAATATCCATTGAAGAGGTAATAGCAGGGTCAGTGCATTGGTACTATTTGTCGTTTGAGAGCAAATTAAGCGTTTTTGTAAAGAAAAAAATTTTCATTGCCATTCTGGTTGATTTTTGGCGCTGGAGGTCTTTCGGCCTAATTCTGTCAGCTTATTTTCTTAAAGTTTTTTCTTTTATTTCGTGGATGTTTTATGGTAATGATTGAAAACGTACAAGAATTTATGTTAAAATATTAGGCCATTCTCACTACAGGCCCCTCAATTAAATTGAAAAAAATAAACTACAGTTTTTTTTTTGAAATTTTAGTTTGTTGAACAACTCTGGACGAAACATGTTTTCAAATTTTGGTCGTGTAACCGGCTTTTTGTATCATGTTCTTTTCAAGTGAGCTAATTTTGTTTGTGAGTTTGTCGCCTAGTTTTTTATAGGGGTTTTGAGTATCAAGTCTTTGTCAACAGCTGATTCTTTTTTTTCTTTCTTAAATTGCTTGGTAAGGTAGCCGTTTTATTTGATGTTTCTGAGATTAATCAAGAATGAAGTGCCATTAAGTCCAAAAACATCAGTTCAGTAGTTTTTAAATTAATTTGGTCAAACTTTCTGAAAGTTTTTTTTTTGTTTTGAACTGTCATCTTGATTTTCCTAAAAAACTTTTTTTCTAAAATTTTGCATAGCTTAAATGATTTGAAGTAATATTGCTGTATCAGTTTTTGATTTTGTTTTTATTGGAGGATTTTCTGAGCATTTTTTGAACCAATCAAAAATTGTTTTCTACGTTTTGATTTTTGAGAAGTTTCTTTGGGATTTTTTTTTTCAAATTGTTTCGGTTTTTATTTTTTAATTTGAGTTTTCGTTTATACGCTTGCTTGTTTTTGGCCCTTAAAAAGATATGCAGTTGTGCTTATGGGTTTCTTTTTCACTTCTGCGATTTTCAAAAGGTTTCATCCAAGTTGGTGCAACCAAGTTAGTTGAAGCTGGACTAAAATTGTTGCTAGTAGATATTTAATTTATTTGCTGATGATTAAAAAAACTAGCGAAACAGAGTTTTCAAAGTTTTTTTTTTCTCATTTTCAGTTTTTTGTATTGCAAGTGGCGCGAAGCTCGGCCTCGCCTCTGTGTGTAGATTGTTTGATTTCTTTGTTGAATTTTCTTCAGGAAAAGAGCTCTATTTTATTTTTGACGATATCATTTTTGTTTTCTTTAAGTTCTCCATTTTCATTTGCTAAATGAAATGCAACTAATAATTTTGCAGTCTCTTTTTTATACAAAACTACACATTTTAACGGGATTAATTTTTAACACAACTTTTTTTGCAACCTATTGGTAAGACGAAATTTTAAAAGAAAATGTGCTTCTTGATCAAGTATCAAAATTAATCGAAATTGCCTTCATCTTGGCGTATGTGAAGAAAATATTCTGCTTTTTGACCACTTGGCCTTTTGCGTTAGTTAGACATCTTCGAGAACAATCTTTGTTTTCATTCTTGTAGACGTGATCAAATCTGTGAGCAGAGGAAGGAGGCAGGCGGAAATCAGTGAGTCATACAATGAGCAGAGCCAACTGAGTAGCTGGTTGACCCTGGGCGAGAAACTGGCTGGTATGGTCGATGGTCTCCTGGGCCAGTTGAGAGAATCCGGTGCATGCAGTGCGTGCAAACTGGCTGTCAAATACACACGGGGTACGCAGTTTTTTCTTGTCTCAAATGCGTAAGTTGATTAAATATAAAAAAGACTGATTGCTGTTGTGCAAAAATAAACTAATTATTTCTTTTTGGATTTTTTTCCACCTTTCTCAAATGAAAATAATCAACTATGAATGCGAAGAATTTTCGAAGGTTTGAAAAAAGTTTCAAGGTTTTGTTAACCGAAAGAGCGTAGATAGAAATTCATTGAAAAAAGTTGATTGTTGATTAAAAAAAACTTAATTGTTGATTAGTAAAAAAAGTTGATTGTTGATTAGTAAAAAAAGTTGATCGTTGATTAATGTTCCTAGAAAGTGACTTGAGAGATATGGATGAAAAGAAGGAACTCTACTTGGATGACATCCGATTTAAAGTATGTAAAGAAATGTATGGAGAAAATTACGAAGCCTGTCCGCTCGATCAAGGAACACTCGAGAATATTCTAGAAGCTCACCAAATAAGTGATATGATGGCCGATGATGAAGTAGAGAAGGATGAGGATGGTCTCTACTGTCCTGTGAAGGCACTGTGCGATGCAAACAGTATCAAGATCGAAGATGCTTACATTTTTGTGAGAGAACACATGTGAGTACATTTGTGTCAAAAATATGTGCAACGGCGTTTTTAGTTTGAAATTAAATTGAGCTTTGTAGGGATAGAAATTTTTCTAATTTAGAAATATTTTTAATATCGCGTATATTTTGGTCAATTGATAAGACTAGGCAAAATCTCAGAATAAAATAAGGAATAAACTGATAGATATTTTCAGTGTTTTGAAACTGTTAACATACACATCATCATCATCATCATCATCGCGATTGTTCATACACCCTTTCTTGGTACTCAAGGATGTAATGAGTTGCATGTGCTCCAGAGATGGCTCCGGTGTACCCAACCGGAAGAAAATAACCAAAAAATTAGCATGTAATTCTAAAGCAGGGGCATCGCTGTAGTTGTACACAAAGTGTTGATCAGATTGTATGTTGATCCTTTCGTTTTGAAATGACGTTTAGTCTGAAGTTATTTCTTAATTAGGTGTGACGTGTACCGAAACATGTTGGAGCTCGTGAATGACCCAGCAAAGTTGAACGCTGGATGGAGCAAGTTGATGGAACAGGCGGACACGCTGAAGGGCAGTTACAATGTGAATGGCCTCCAATGGGCGGAGGGTGTTAAGAAGGCACTGGAACAGGCTCAGATGGAAATGGAAAAGGAGGGATACAAAGATAAGAAGGAGGTAAAGTTTGTTTTTGTTTTGTAAATCAGCACGGCCCTCGGCTATCGATTCCAAGAATGGCCAAAACTCGCCGATAAATTTTGAATGTATTTACTACACAAGGGTTTTTATGTGCCTGATGTTCTGAAACACTGGATCAAGGGCGGATCTATTATTTTCTCGAGGGGGGATCTATTATTTTGTCGAACTTTTTTTAGGTCGACCAAATTGATTTTCTGAGCTTTCCCAGGTTTTGAAAATAAGGCCAAAACAGCGTTTTAAGGCATTTTTTTGGAAATTTTGACCAAAAAATTTTTGTTTTTTTTTGCGCGCGCTCCCCCTCAAAATTAGTATAAATTGGCGCCGAAGGCTTTTTAAAACATTTTTAGGATCCGTCCCAAAAATGGATATTTCAAAATAGTACAAAAGGGGACCCTGTGGGTCGACAAGGGGTCGAATTCCTAAAAGGAGGCGTCCCCTCACCTAAATAGCCCCTAGACTGGATGCGAATTGTAATAATTACTCAAATAAGTGAGTTATTCTTTTTGTGGAAAATAAAATGAGAAAACAATTTAAGAAAAAACCGCAGTGGAAAAGAATGTTGAAGATTCGATGGACGTAGTTGTTATCTAGACTCTTATAGACTGTAAGAACGTAAACTCTTCGATAGGTCGCGGTGATTTTTTTTTTCGTTTTTTTTGGAAAAGTTTTAAAATTTGTTCAGGCTCAAGTTTGATTTTTCGTGGTTTGACTTCGATTTATTTTTGTTTAGATATTGATAAAGAAGCTGAAAGAAGAGGTTCCTTCTTTCCAAATGTGCTGAACTACTTGGACGAAGAAGGGATCGAAAAAGAACTTGAATAATGGAGAAAAGAACTCAATCTGAATTGACTCTGAAATTATAATTATAACCCGGAACTTATTAAGTTACACTGTTTTCAGTTGTATTCTTTTGATTAATTGTAATTCATTGTTAGAATTGTTTAGTGTTTTTTTCTATAGTCAGAACGGTATGAAATTTTTTTCCTGATAATCGGCAGTCGTCAATTTGGTAATTTTTCAACGCCGGAGTTTTTAACAATTAGTGCTCGTGTGATAATACGATTCCACATGAGTCGGTCGCCAGCTGTGGTTTTTAATCTTGAAAAGGTGAATTTATTTTTATTTAAACAACCTGAGCAGCTTGTGTTAATTAAGGAAATATCTTTTTGAGAGCAATGAATGTAGTGAATACACTTAAAGTTTCAACATATGATCACACTCCATCTGGATTTTTCGGGGTTCGAATTTTGATTTCAAGTTAATTATTTTCTTTAGTTAAATAGAAGACAAATTTAACCGATGAACAGCAAAGATATTAAAGTCACTTAAATTGTGATTGACTTCTTATATCGAAAATGGAATTTAATTATCAAATTTGCCAGCAAAATAAAAGTTTTACTTTATGGTCCAGTTTTCTCAAAGTGGTTTACTTTTATCAAAAAAGAAAATATCGATTGTTCTCAAAATTCAAAAAAAAAATAACTAGCGGGCTTGCAAGAGTTAGTGTCATAGTACGAGAGCTAGTTTCATTGTTTATCAGTAAGGAATGCCTTAAAGGTGAAGTATGACTAAAACTATGAGTTGCAGAAGTTCGACAAGCCGAAAAAAAACTAACAAATTGTTTTTTTCATTTTTATACCAGAATTTTTTTATCAAACTTCTTTTGACCCGAGCGGAGAAAATTGTGATTATACGAGACTGTTTTTTTAAACTTAATAAGCAAATTTAAAGGCTGTCGTTTCAACCTAAGTCGAAAATATTAGAGCTGCTTTTAGTGGGACTTTGAATCAGGAGGCGAAATCGGCTCCTGAGTGGTTTTTGTGTTAATATTTAACTACTAATAAACTAATCAGTTGATGCATTTTTATATCGTCAAATGAACCCAAAAAAACTATTCGTTTCATACAACAGTACAACCGTCAACACTCTGTTTTCAGATTTTTTTAAATTGATTTTTTTCGCAAAATTCCTTAGTGCATAATTCTTACAAACTTTAAATTTGTACTTTACTGCATTCAAAAACTATGTTCTTGCCTTAAATTTATTACATTTTAAATTATTGTAAGCATTTGAGAGTTTTTGTTTTGTACTTTTTAAAGCTCCCGTTTGCTGCTTTATAGGTTGTCAAGTTGGAAACTTGAATACTGAGGTACTGAGGTTCAGTTCCCGTCATTTCATTAGTTTTTTTTCTTCGTTCTTTTTTTCTTTTTTGACGCTTATAAAGAAACTTCTTGGCGTTTTTTATTGTGTTTGCGAAGTGCAGATTTGCTTCTGTGCTACGCTTGCAATTGTAGAAGTTTTTCTCTCACAAATTATTTACTACATCCGTCGATACTACATCTACTGACAAGGCTAAAAACTATGCACCTAATTTTGAGTGTCAATAGTGACTTTGGATCTTTTTTGAGCAAATAAAAAAATGTGTTTACTACAATAATATCATATTAAATAAACTTGAGATAGCATAAGTGGATTCTAAAATGCATTGAAGCAACCAAAATGCTTAATTTTTTAGTTAAATGAATTGCCAGTTATGTTTTTGGCTCATTGGTTTGATCAAGCTTAGTGGTTTGGGCGCACAACTAACCTTTTTTGGCCAAAAGTTTCGACCTTTGCTCTGAAAAAAAACAGCTAACTGCGTTTAATTCGTTTACCAAACTTAGTTTCATCTGACATCCAAAAACCCAAGTTAACAGATCAACAACCAAAGTATTGCAATGAAATTCCATCATAAACCATGAGTGATTAAACCCACACAAACTAAGATTATATTTAAATTATCAATTGTTTACACAAGCAAAGCTTGTGTGATAGTATGAATTTTTTTATTTCCCAACTTCAGTCGCAAATATTGTTGCCACGCAAATATTGTTGCAACAAAATGTTTTCATTTTTAAGTTGTTCGTTTTGATCCATAACCAGCTATTAAGTACATCCAATGCTAAGGATATTAGCACAGACTATTATATTGCAAATAGCACTTTAGGTATCATGGATCTGTAGCGTAGAGGTAGGGAAGGAGACCCGCAACAAAATAATAGGGTTCGAACTTGAGCAGGGTCGGATATCTTTTATGAACTTTTTCGTATACTAGTTAAAATGCGTCTGCTCTATAATTTGAGGCATATTAGTTGGTAAATTTTTTTTTTCAAAATGACTGGTACTGCTAATACGTCATAATTGGCTTGCGTCACTTTGCAATTATGTAGACTCATAATTAGCGAGCATCACTGAAGAAATTTTGTTGACTCAAAGATTTACTCATTCAGTTTCTCCCAGTAGCGTTATCGGTCATGTTTTTGCTTGTGAATGCAAAGGGCAACTTAACCCCTATGTGTCCAAGTTGCTGTAACGCCATGCTTGAGACGACAAAACCCAGGAGTTCGATTCCAGTTTAAACCTGTTTTTCTTGCAAATAGACAGTTTTGGCTAATTTGGAGCTGCTATATTTGTGTGCTTAGCTCCGCAAAAAAAAACTTTTTGACAACTTGGCTTTCTTTAGGCTTAAGAACTTGCTTAACAGAATCACTTGAGTCACTTGGTATCTTGGCTTATAATGAAATCAAATTTTCAAGAGTCTTCGGCACACTTAGTCTGGAGGTAACGAATACGCCTGGGACGGCAAAATTCCCTGGTTCGAATCTGATCAGATCCTGTTTTTTTTATACAAAAATTATTCAATTTCAAAACGATGTCGTCTTGTTTTCTGTCTGCTTATGTTTTTTCGACTTATTTGCCACAATTGTTAATTTTTTTGTCGATTTACTTGTCGAACTTTTTGCTGTATTCAGTTTTGATTACAGTTGCTTTTGTGTTTTCATTTACTCCTGCAATTTGCAATTGGCTTCGTACATTTTAATTTTTTCGTATTTTCTTCCCTTAAATAATTTTTCGGCTTAAAATGATTTTGAACGCGTTTTCATTATCATAGCCAACAAAATACTACACTCTTTTTCATGCAGAAAAAAAATCATTTTAAAATTAATTTATGAAATGAACAAAATTATTTCGTTTTTTTTTTGCAAGGAATTCTCAATTGGAGATAAAATTGTTCAAAATTTCTGATTGTATTGAAAATTATTCAATTTTTGGTTTGAGAAAAGTTATTTGGGTGTAGTATAGTCAATTTAGCTGATTCGTGAACCAGAATGGAAAGTAAATGAATTTTTCCAGATTTGGTTAGGTGGGGCCATAATTACTGTGATGTGCGGTTACCTGAAATATTGACCACAATATAAAAAAACTGATCACCTTTAAATTGATAACACTGCTCCAGTAACTTGTTTGCAATTGATTGAATCCAAATGAGTTGACACTGTGCAACGGGTTGAACAACCTGAAGAATCGACCTCGTTACTAAATTTTTAATGAATTTAAAACGGTTGTCCATTTTCCTCCAGCATGAGGCCTTGCTTGATCTGTTTGCTTGCGATGTCTTTGTTTGTCATTTTTCTGGACACACAGGATAGCAGCGAAACGGCCTGCTCTTATTCAAGTTAACAGTGACGCAAAAACTCAAAAAACTGATTTCAAATCATCCTGTATTCATGCACCCAAGGGCGAGCATTCATGCACACAAGGGCCTGCATCTAAATACTTAGGGTCTCGCTGATCCAGCAGAATAAGTTTGTTGCTTTAGTCGATCTGAAAGTTTTCGTCTAAGCTCACCCAATTTTTAGTGGTGTTTGCTTTGTATAAGACTGCAGCTCCTTGGTTTATGTTCTTATGTTTTTCCACGCGTTTTCATTATAATAGCCAACAAAATACTACACTGTCTTTTGTGCAGAAAAAGTCTTGTTAAATTTTTTTTATTGAAATGAACAGATTTGTTTCAATTTCATTGAAAGAATTCACAATTGATGATAATAGTCGGCAACGTTTCTGGTTGTACAGAAAATTAATGGCTTCTTGGTTTGAGAACAACCAATTGGGAATAGTTTAACTGATTCGTGAACGAAATGGAACGTAATTGAATCTTTTCAGATTTGGTTGGGTATTGCCAAAACTAATGTGATGTGCTATTACACTAATTACCGACCACGTTATAAAAAAAGTTGTTTTAAATTTAAATTGATAACACAGCTCCAGTAACTTGATTTCAATCAATTGAATTCAAATGAGTTGACAATGAGCCGTGGGATGAGCAACTTGAAGGATTGACCAGGCTATAAAAATTTTCTATGAAATTAGAATGGTTGCGCCCTCTTCCTCCAGCAAGAGACCTTGCTTAATCTGTTTGCTTATGATGTCTCTGATTGTCGATTTTCTGGACACCCAGGTTAGCAGCAAAACGGCCTGCCCTTACTCAAGTTAGCAATGATGCAGGTCCCCGATGATGTACAAAGACTCAAATAACTGATTTCAAAGCATCCTGCAATCATGCACCCGAGGGCAAACAAAAAAGTTCCCGATAACATTGGTCTCAAAAACTCAGCAAAAAAATTTAGCTTTAGTTAATGAAAGTTTCCGTCGAGTTCGACCAAATTATTGTTGTAACCAACCTTAATGGTCGAATACGTGATAAAACTTTAAATCAATTTAGAATGGTTGCCCTCTCCTCCTCCAGCAAGAGCCCTTGCTTGATCTGTTTGCTTGCGATTTCGCAGATTGGCGTCAAAACGGCCTGCTTTTAGTCAGGGTAACAATTACCCAAGTCATCGATGATGATTGGATAGTAAATTACTCCGAAGATTCCTGGTTTTCTGAGTTTTCTCAGTTTTGACAACGCGCCAAGTAACTGATTTCAAAGCATTCTGTATTCTTTCACCCGAAGGCAAACAGAAAAATTGAATCCAGATAATAACCATCTCGTTAATCCAGCAAAAAATTTGTTGCTTTAGTTCATCTGAAAGTTTCAACCGGAGTTCGCCTAATTAATTGTTGTAGTTGCTTTTGACCAGCCTAAATAGTTGAACACCTTATAAAACTGTTGATCAATTTAGAA